TATATATATATATATATTATAAGATAGACATATAGATACATGAAATCAAGGAAAGAAATAAAAATGATTTACTGCCAAAAACATGATGTTTACAATTATTCTGATTTGACAAATTTGATATTTTTGAAAAAACTGATATAATTAATACGCTGGGATGTTGAAAATTGGTTAGAGTAGCTAATTACTCCTCTAATTAAGGAAATCAATTATAACCATTTAATTCAAATGAATATATCATATGGTATACGAAGTAATATTTGAAACTATCGTAAATCCTAGTAATTAAAACTTAAACTAGTGGAATTTATGTAATTTTCTCAACTATTTATAACCTTGTTAAAAAGAAATAAATTAAAAAAAGAAATAAGGAAACCCAAAGTTTTTTGTTTATTTTTTTTGGAAAAGATATACTTATATATAGACATACTATGTATCCTTACAAATAAGTAATGCTAGTAGAAGCACTAGAATAGATACCATAGTAGTTACCCAAAAAGTTACCTTAAGCAAAAAAATTCATAATTTGCTTACTTCTAAAGTCAAACAAAGCAAATAAAGGCAGGACTTGAAATAAATAAAACAATCCTGAATCTGTTTAATTTCTTTCTTAATTAGGTCATTTGCTTCTCCTCCTCTTCATCCTCCCCCTCTCCATGTATGAATGAGTATAGTTGAAATTGTTTGAAAACACTTGGACAATGCTATACACAAAAGATTAGAAATGATCTGAACTTTTTTCAAATAAAAATCATATCTAAAAAGCGTTTGACACACATGTATATCATATTGTATATTTCGTATATTATACAAAAAAAAATCACAGTAACAATTTATAAGATATGCATATCATATGTATATTGTGTATATAAGTATATATCACACAAGTTTTCGTGAATTTCTATAAATATACATGATATACATGAGATAAACGATATACAATTAGATATATAATGATATTCACTGGGATACATGGATTCCACTATCATATGTGCATATGAGATGGAGTCGTCTTCAAATTTGAGTTTTTAGTCTGTAGTGCATGTCAAATCCTCCGTAAATCATCTAGAAATATCTTCAAAATTTATATTCAAATTCCTTAATATATTTCTAATAAAACTCAATACACCCAATTGGGATAAATTATAACTACACATAACAAAAATAAATTGAAATCAAGCTTTAATCGTTTTTAGATATTTATCCTCAAATATTCGATGAGGATCTAAAAAAAATTGGCATTGCAAAATTAATTGAAAAATTAAAGAAGATATCTTAGATGAAAAAAGAAAGTAAAGAGGTTTAGGAGAAAATATTGAAAATTTCTAACACGGATATTTTTTTTTTATAAATTCGAAATTGTTAAATTTTAATGTCAATCCTATCCCTAACTGATTTTTTATTTCAGGTCCTTGTAATAACAATAGCTTTTTAATTATTACCAGTCAAGCTTACTTACATGGACTTTCAACATTTTTAACTGATAATTTTATTGCAAGTTTAAATTATCAAGTTATTTCTAATCAAATATTATCATTTACAAATTTTATTAATGAGCGATAGGAGAAAATGAATCGAGGAAATACCCTTCAAGATTACTTACAACTTACAAGCACAAGTGGAGAATATCATTGGATTTGATTTTAAAAAGTATAGGTCGAGATTATATTATTGATGACTTTTGTCAGGTTAGTGGTTAATTGTAGGTTATTTTTTATTTAAATAATGTCATATTCAACAAGAAAAAAGGAAGAAAAAAAAATGTGTGTGAGCACATTAAATTTTCTAACTCCATGTAAAAGAGAAATCTTATGTTCCAATGGAAGCTAGCGTGATATGGATTATTCAAAAATCAAAGTTGATTTACATAAATAGCTATCATATCTAGATCATATGCTTTCCATTTGTTACTTAACGAGGCTCTTAGTTGAATATGATCAAAATTGTTTGAATTTTTTAAATATCAATGTAGAATTATTATTAGTTAAGTATAATTTTACGAAAAGTCGAAACCTCTTATTATGATCCTAATACGGAAACCTACAACTAATCAGAAATTGAGTAAGAAAAGAGACATTATAAGTAACAATGGTGCATAAGTAAGTGATAGAAATCCTTAAATTTATCTGAACGCCTTGATGCATGTCTAATAAGAAGCGTTCTTAGTCATCAAGAAATGACAAAGACACACACACATATATTGTTCGTGTTTATGCATTTTAATAATATTAAAATTAAAATATTAAGTGCATATGTTAGTTAGTGGGTATAAGTTGACAAAAATGTGATCATTATTGTGATGTAACTCTTGTAACCACTATTGTCACGATCTATCACTAATTTCACCCATTATTCTACCTCAATATACCTTGTAACTTATGTAACCTTGGGCTATTCATTTACCCAATTTACTACTCATTATCTTCCTATTCATTATAAGGAAGAATTCTCACCTATAAATAGTGATGTCTTCCTTTGGATTATTAAGAAGATGAGATACAACAGAAAGAGTGTAAGAAAAAATGAGAGAAGTGTTATATTGTGTGTATATTGAGTTAGTGTAGTGAAAGAAAGAATTGAGACAAAAGAAAATATTCTTAGCCTTCAACTATATTCACAATACAAATTACAAGAGAGTAATTATATGTTGAAGAAGGTGTTTTTTTTTAGGAGCTTTGGACTCTTTAACTAATCCGAAGTTGCTTGAGTTGTATGAAGTTGTTGGGTTGTTGTATCCTGGGGGGACAAGTCAAGAGTATTACTGTTGGATCGGTGTAGATTATGTCGCAGTGGGGTCGAATCTCCTTAAAGAGAGCGAGATATCCGCGCCTCGGCCTAAAGATTTGTTTATTCATTTTTTGTTATTTTATTTTCAACTGTAATATTTTATATTTGTGGTATATTACACCTCTCTCTCTATATATATATATTCTAATATGAGTATTGGACACTAAATAAAATAAAATAAAAAAATCATGCCAACTTTTGCTAATTAATTAATTAGGTTTGTGTAGTTGGCTAAACAATCTAACCAATGTTCCCCCAAAACTATATATTTGAAGTTAGAGCGTTAACATAAAGAAAGATTTATTTGATCTTCTAGGAACTAAAGCCCAAAGCATTCTTTTGTAGTATATTCATATTAATTGTTGGTTGAACCACCTTATTCTAAAGCTTCACAACTTGCCTTATATATATAGCTGTATATGTTTTCTATATTGTTGATTTTCAAGGCTTATTCTCCGACAAAACAAAAAATAATAATTTAAAAGAGTAATTATGTTGGCACAATTTTTTTTAATTTTTTTTTAATCTATGAATATACTCCATCGGTTCTTTTTTAGTTGACATAGTTTTCTTTTTGAGATTCAAATTATATGAATTTTGACTGACATTTTAAGATGTATTTTTTCAAATATGAAAAAGTTGCAATTTATAGTACTTTCCGTATAGTTTATGAATATATTTTTTTTTAAATATTGAATTAATATAATTTAATTTAACTTTAAAAATTAGTCAAAATGACTCTTGGGAAACGCAACATGACAAATAAAAAGGAATGGAAAAAAATATATCACAGCTAGAGCAAAGACCATCATGTCATGTATGTTTCTTCTTCTAGAAGATACATTAGTTTTGAAAAATAAGCTTCAAATTGACCTAAAATATTCACATGTTTGAATATAGGGAAAAAAGTCTAAAATATATCTCAATTTTGACCTAAATTATTGTAATAATATCGAACTTTAAAAAGGTCCATTTACCCCCTGCACTATTTAATAATGTATTTTAAAGATATATATGGGTCCACGTGGACATCATAAATATTGATTCATTATAAATAGTAATGTGTCCACGTAGACACATATATACCTTTAAAATACACTATTAAATAGTGCAGGGGATAAAAGGTCCTCCATAAAGTTTGGTATCGTAACAACAATTTCGATCAAAGTTGAAATATTTTTCAGACTCTTTTCCCTTAAATATAACCTTAAGTTTCAAATTTCAAGAAAATAAGATCTTCAAAAAACTCTTCAATTTTTTATTTTATGAGGAACTATATATTCATATAAAAGTCAAATTAAATATTCTTAGACATATATATATGCCAAGCCAAAAGAGACGATGCAAAGGATCATTTGTAATATGGATATTGGCATGTCAAATATTGATGACGTTTTAGTTAGATACTAAAAAATCAAGTTCTCACAGCCATTTTTTCCTTCTTCAACCACTCTTAAACGTAATCGACTTATACACCTAACTTAATCATTTTGATCCAGTCTCTTTTTTATTTTTATTTATTTTTGGCCTACCCTTATTTTAAATTTATTTTCATAGACATGTAAATTGGAGAAAGAAGATACGCCATTAGATTAATTAGACTGAGATGATGAGTATTCTTTGTAAAGTTCCATGCAAGGAACTTTCCTTGAGACGAAAAAGAAATGCTAATGGAGACTTACGGTCTAAGCAGAGAAGAAAGAGAAGAAAGCAATTGTTTCATTGAGTAAAGCTTAGATTGAATTAATATCTGATACAAGGCATCTATATATATCCTAACTATAGTAGGATGTAGAACTAATCTATAGTTAGTTAATTATGGTAGAGTGTAAAACTAATTTGTAGTTAGTTAACTAACATACTAATACAGCTGGAATATTAGTGAATTAACTAACTAACTTCAGCTAACTGCTTATCCTTAGTGACAACTGGATCCTCAATATCCCCCTTGAAGCTAGGCACAAAGAAGATGTTGATCATGCCTAGCTTGGACAAAAGATGAGAATGTTGCAAACTACTAAGTCCCTTAGTCAATAGATCAGCCAGTTGTTCAGAGGAGGCAAGATAGAAAGTGTTGAGTAGTCCTTGCTGGAGCTTCTCTCGAATAAAGTGACAATTAATGTTAATGTGCTTGGACGTTCATGAAATACTGGGTTGGCAGCAATCTGCATTGCGGCCTTGCTATCACAGTAAACAGGAACAGGCAACTGGATGGGTCAGTCCAATTCTGAAAATAGTCCAACAAGCCAAACAATTTCAGCAACTGCTGAGGCTAAACTTCTGTACTCTGCTTCAGCGGAGCTCCAAGATATAGTAACCTGCTTCTTTGACTTCCAAGAAATGAGGGAGTCACCAAGCTTCACCAAATAACCAGTAATAGACCTCCTGGTGTTAGGGCAAGCTGCCCAATCTGCATCACAGTAAACAGCTAACCGTGCAGAGGATGTAGAAGATATGAGAATGCCTAAGCCAGGGCAAAGCTTGAGATATCTAACAATTCTTAAATCGGCTTTCATATGAGATGACTTAGGATTCTGCATGAATTGACTCAGACATTGTACAGAGAAACAAATGTCAGGCCTAGTAACTGTCAAGTAAATAAGTCGACCAATAAGTCTTTGGTAGCCGCTAGGATCCTGCAAGGGTGGATCTGAAGTGGTGATTCCAATGTGTTTATCGAATGCAACAGTGGTGAACTTGTCATTTAACTCCATAGGAGAGTGAACTGGTTTAGTGCCTGACAAACCTAGGTCAGAAATGAGTTTTAACACATACTTTCTCTGATGCATGACTATGCCTGTTGAGTTTCTAGCAAACTCTATACCAAGAAAAAATCGCAGATTACCAAGATCTTTAATCTTAAAGTTGGTCTGCAATACCAATTTTGTCTCTGCAATTAAT